GTCTCTTCTCATCGACACGTGATCGCAGTACATAATCGCCCACGTTGAAGTTGACGATGTTGTCGCCACGTTCCTTTTCTTGTTAAGTAGTGTCTGCTTGAGGCGGGCGTCTGTAACTGCTCTGTGCATGTCTTTCACACTAGTTCGCAATCGGTCCAAGCTTTCTTCAATGTCAGCAGAAGTGCGAGTAGGCTGTACACTTGGAGCCACTTCAGGCCCGAGGAACACCACTTGCAAAGGCGAGGGGGCCTCCAGGCCGGTGAACAACTCGCTCGGCGTTTTGTTGGCCAGTGACGACACTGTAGTATGGTTGAGTCTGGCCTGCACGACCGGGATCAGCCTGGGCCAGTCACGATGGTTGATCTTGTAGTCTAGTATCAGGACCCTTAATACTTGCAATATATCTCGGTTGACACGCTCGACAGACCCATTGATCCATGGGCTGTATGTTGGCAAGAAGATTTGTTTGCACTTGAGTCTAGTACAGAGGTCCTCAATCACTTCATTCTTGAAGTGAGATCCTTGGTCACTGATCCAATCTTTCGGAATGCCAAAACGACTGTGCCACTCCATAATAGCATCAGCCGCAACGGTACTGGTTGGTAGATCACACTTAACCAATTCGCAGTAGTGACTCGCATCATCCTTCAGCACCAATACATACTTCAAGTCACCAAATGATTCACCAAGGTATAGGAAATCCCAGTGAAGCGCTTGGTTTCGCTCATTGGTCCGGTAAGTCTCGCTCCAGGGCCTTGGCACTATCTCCCCCCCCTTAACATGATGACAGAGTAGGCCGCGCACCAGAAATCGGTCTACGCATTGGCGTAACTAGGACACGTGAAAGTCGCGTCCCAAGTGGGCCAACATCGCGTCCCTACCGCGATGGCCTTGGGGACCACAATTTGCAATAATACACAAGCGTTGGAGTAGTTCAGTAGCCTCTGTTGGGATCCACAACCGGTTGTCTTTGCGTTGGACCCCGTCATCACCTTCCGCTAGGCCGTCTGGCATGTCCTTGGATCCAACCTTGCGTTGAGCATTCAAGATAGCATCTAGTGTCGGCCACACATAAAATTCTTCTTGGTCAAGTGGCCGTAGTAGCAGTTGGTCATGCTGGCGCTGACTGCGTGTTGTGACTCTGCGTAAACTGGTACATGTTGGCGTATGTGCCCAACGTGATACCATGTCTGCCCAAACATTGTCTTCACCGGCGATGTGATGTATCTCATACCGGAATTCTCCAAGTCTCATTGCCCATCGAAGCAACTTCCCACGTACATGCTTCTTCACAGTGTCGTGCGGGGCGAACACGTGGATTAAATTGCGGTGATCACAGTGTAATCGAAAGCCCGTAGGTCGTAATAGGAGGTGGGGTAATTTGTCGCACGCTGCCACTATCGCGAAGGCCTCCTTCTCGATCACACTCCAATTCTCTTGTGAACCTGTGAACGTGCCACTTAGACAGTGTAGCAGTCGGTGATTCTGATCTGCAATCGGCTTGCCCTCTTCCCACGTCTCAACATCCGTCACAATGACACTCCATGCTACGTCTGAAGCTTCTGTGAACACTGATAGCACGCCCTCTGAACTCGGGTGTGCCAATGTAGCTGCAGTAGCTAAACAGTCCTTGACATTATCAAATGCGGCTCGCTCTTCGTCTGTGAAGGTCACCGGTAGCTTTGCTGCAGCGCGTTTGGTCCGTTTTCCAGCTCCCAGTGTCGCATCGAGCCGTTTCTGTAGCGATTGGACATGACCAGCATAGCTCACCAAGCTGTCTCGCATCCAATTACATGCGCAAAGAAACTGCTCTAATTCTCCTGCATTGGAAGGCAGCGGCATTTTGCGTAGTGCAACAACTCGTTCCGGATCATGGCGCACGCCATCTCCGTCAATAAGTTTACCACACCACTTCACAGATCGTTCGAAAAGAGACGATTTCGAGGCGCTCAGTTTGAGGCCAAACTCGTCCATCAACGAAAAACGCTCACTCAACTTTTCCAAGTATGTGTCCACGTCCTCTGCATACAAGAGCAGATTGCCAGTCCATATCAGAAGATGCTTGCGGAGCAATTTAGCGAAACAACGTTCCATCGTCATTTGAAAGTGTAACGCGGCATCGCTGCATCCCTGTGGTACACGCGTTGGTGTATACACTTTGGCATCCGTCATGTAGCTGAGAATTTCTTGGCTGGCCTTGGCCAGCGGTAGCTGCCAGAACCCCTTGATGAAGTCGAAAGGTCCAAAGAAGCTCATGCCTTTGACGTGCTCTGTGATCACGTGCATCGGCATAACACCTGCAATGGGTTCCGTCTCAGCGTTCACCGGTCGATAATCACTTGTCTGCCGAAATTCATCCTTGCCTGGCTTCTTAATGGGTAAAGCTGGGCACGCCCACCGACTAGAAGCGTTCTCGAACACCCACCCGAGCCGGACTAGCTCATCATTGAACTCCTTCATGAACTTCCTGATGTGCGGCGGGTATGCTCTTGGCTTGCATCGAAAAGGTTTCGCATTCTTCCTTAGACGGATCTCTAAAGGCTCAACCTTAGCCGGTGGATCCGGTCCAAGATGTAGCCTCCAGATGTCGTACATGAACACAATAGTGCGTAGCCGGTCCTCCTTCTCTGCAGAAAATCCGTTTTCCAATGCGTTGGCGATCATCCCCTCAACTGCTTGCTGAATCTCGTTATCAGGTGAAGTTCCACTGCAGAAATCCTCGTTGTACTCTATCGGGTCGCCATCGTCCGTCGAGGTCTGCTTTGCCAACTGTTCTAGTTGTCTATCAATGCTGATACCCAAATCACCGAGAATATCTTCACCCACGATAAATTCATCTTCGTCTTCTTCGATCACTAGTACTTCGTACGGTTTAACTGGCCTCACAGGCCCAGCCGCGGTGTGCATCATGATCTGTAGCAGCACAGACTCCTTTGCCTGAATCGTGTGCTTACCCACTGTCTCGCATACTATAGGTCGATCCAACATGGTGGTTTTCACAAGTCCACCCAACTTCTTAAGATTCATCAGGTTGCGAGCACTGATGATGCTTTTCTCGGCCCCAGTATGTGCGCAATAGGGCATGGGCAATCTCTCTTCCAATATGATAGTTTTCTCTTGCTCCAAGAGACAGTCCTTGATGCGCTTCAACCTTCACGCGTCAGCATTGAGGCGCTTCGTGGCCTTATTGCTGTCGCGTCGCTCGTGCATCTTGCGTAAAAGGTCTTTCTTTTCATCATCGGTAGCAGTCGGACAACGCGTAAGCCAGTGGTCACTTTTGCACTTAAGGCAACCACCTGTCGGAGGCTTGGAACTCTTCAGCTTTTCGATGCTCTGCTTACTAATGACAGTTTTCGCGGGCCGTTTACCGTCGGATCTCTCCACTTTCCGGTGTTTCAATCGAGGTTGAGACGAGTCATTGTCGTTTGTAGCGTCCATCCTCTTGCGATCGTTGTGATCATTTGTCCGCGATCGCTTGCGCCGCTGAAAATCGCGGTCCTGCTCAAGGGCTTTGGCAAGTATGAGCTTAAACAGCTCTTTCTCACTATTTTTGGCTGTCCTGGCTTGGTACTTAACTGTGGTTGTAACTTCGTCACGCAGGCAGCGCGGTTGCAATGACTCCATCAGTAGTTTACATTTTAGCCGAATGCCTTCGTTCCCAGTGAAAAATTCTTGCCACCCTTGCTCTTCTACAAACTCTCTGCTTCGCGCAAAGAATTGCATGATGCGTTCTTTGACGTCACTCTCAGTCATGTCGATCGTGACATTTTCCTTGAATAAAGCAGCGATGTCAGGAACAGAGTTGTTCTTGACGGACGAGATATTCTCGTCAATCTTGGTCAGTATGAACTCATCACTGACAGTATGAACGCTGACGTCCCAATCAAATTCACACCAGACAGCAAGAAGTCGGTTGTCAAGCGACTTTTTCACGCTCACAAGCACTTCTGCCATCTTGTCAGCGTCGTTGTTGCATCGCATCGCCATCTCAGCTTCGTATTCACGTCGAAGCTTTCGCCATTGCACCAGGGAGGCGTGCGAAGTACTCTTCAGCTGGGGTGCAGCAAGTGGCATAAATAACGCCACTGGTACAGCTGAACTTCCACTAGAATCGGTCGTTGTTGTTGCCGGAAGCATCGGGTTGCTGCGTGTTGCTCTTGTCATCTTTGGCTTTCACTGCTAAGGAATTCTTTGTAGTAGGTCGCGCTCAGAAGAAAGTTCAAAGACACTCGAAGGAAGCTGGCACTTCCTGTAAAATCTTGTCGCCGCGTGTATTGAGCTTGTCGACTAGCTGTCAAAAATGAAACTGAGAAAACTAAAACATGTACTTCGACTTGCTCCCCACATTGCCATCACTAGCGTCCTAGTGATGGTGTTCAACTCGTACTTCAACATGCACCAGCTTGAGTAGACGAACAGTTGTAGATAACAGCAGGCAGTTCTGATAAGCGTCTTTGATTTAACAAAAGACGCTTAGCTTCAACTCCATATCTCGCTGAGCCACATCTACATGGCTGACTGCAACCACATGATGATGGTCAACCTTGCTGCCGCAACTCGACTGCATTGCATGGGCTCGGTTGGGCTTTTTAACCACGACCCACTACACGGTGTACATTTATGTTTTGTTGTGACACTGTAGGTGTGTATTAATAGTTGTAGCGTTTTGGTCACCATACAAGCGAGAAGGTTCTTTTTTACGCATCTGGTGGGCCACTACACCTTTGCCAATCCAAACTGGTTTTAGTGTAAACCAAAACGGAGTGTCCCTTATTTAGAAATTTATTTTCTTTAAAAATTAAAAATCCCCAAAATTAATCCAGACCAAAACGGATTTAGTGTAAAGCAAAATGATAAAGTATATCTTGTTCGATGGTCGCCTCGATAAGAGTATCTTGTCTTCTACAGTACTGCACATGCACCACGTACATTACATTAGTGCATTGGCTATAGCCACGAGCGCCCCGCACCGGACGCCGTTATAAGTGTACGAACTCTTCTTAACGCTGACCGTCCAGGCAAGCAGCCCCAACACGAGCGCTTGATGGCACGTCAATCGCTGATGCGCCGTTTTTGAGACGCAAACTCAGAGCTGCAACCCCTCTCCTTCCATTCCCCACGGCTGGTTAACATCTGCAAGCGCAGCCCAAAGCTCTTATCCTTGATGTACTCTGTCTAATCGGGTTGCTGGCCGTCTTGGTCCCTCTATCGATGATTATGCAGGCTGTACAAGCTGAGAGGTCACTGTGTGCACCCACACTCTCGTGTTCTGGCGCCCATACGCAGGTTCACGCCCCCTTACATCTTTGTGTGTACCCCAGTCCGCAGCGCGCCCGTAGTTCGTATTGCTGGATGTGTCACTTGCGTTCTTGCCAGTTTGCACTACACTAAATCTACATTGCTCTAAAAACTAATTTTGTAAAATCATTCCTCAAATTTAGATGTTACTTCGGTTACTTCACTCCGTTTTGGTTAACACTACATGTATTAATACCACCAGTTTGGATTGGCAAAGGTGTACAGAAATCTGCCTGAATAAGGAACGCCTGATATAAATTAAGAAAGAGATTGCATAAGCTGACAATGCCTCGCTAGAAACAGACTATGATATCGGATCATGTGCATGTATTGAATTACGTTAGGATAAATTGAAGATTCGACTTTTGAAAGAGACCAAAGTGATATTCCAGCAGTGCTGATTCAGCAGCACTGCTGAATCGTGAAAGCGCTAACTTTAGATCGTACAGCCTTCTCCACAGGCCGTCCGCGCAGCACAGCACTTGATTTGAGTATGCGGTATTTTGTCGTTTTGCCAGGGGCCGTTGGAAGCAAACTCTTCAACCGCCCACTCAGCTAGCTCATTTTACGACAGACTAGGTGAGCGAGCAGCCTTCTTGAGGATGGCTACCTTCTCGGACCAGGTGAGGCGGAGACGATTGGAGGACATGGGGGTGCTGAGGACGCAGTCGGCTAGTGATCTTGAATGTAAATGTAGGAATGAAGTTCGGCTCGTAGGGCTTGAAGCGAAGGAGGATCACCTACTGCGCGCCATTTTTTAAACTGAAATCAAAGTCAGTGCCTGGATTGTTTTGTCAGTACCTTGCCCATCACTATCCCATCTCCCTTTATCTTTCCCGACTATAAAAATTGCGAGGTTATTAGTTGAAACCCCGTTCCTTATTCACGCAGATTTCTGTAGTAGTATATTAAAGTGCAGTGGCTGAAGATGTTTTAGGTATCTACTAGCTAGATGTTTAATAGACACTGTTCATCTTCGACGAGAACGTTGCAGGGCATCGACATCTAAATTAGATTTCTAGACTAGAAGTCGACGCCGTCTGCAACGTTTTCGTCATCGTCGAAGCACACGAATTGGCCGTACTCGGACGGCTGCCGCATGAGCGGTACTCGTTTCCTCTTCTGTCGCAGCAACTCGGCGGTGGCCTCGCTCGTGGGCAATCGCGCGATCACGAAGGCGAGCAGTCCAAGCGTCAGCACCGAATACACAGCGAAAGCCCAGGGTAGAGAAGAATCGCAAGTGGCAATGGTGCTCACTGGGTCGTCCTTTACGATGGTGCAGTTGAGCAAGCGTGTGAGCGGCAGGATCTGCATGAGCACATACGCCATGAAAGGTCCAATCGCCTGGCCGAGGTAAATGGCGGCGGAGAACAGGCCGATCACGAGGTTTGAGCCGTGTACCCCCTTGTCTTGCACACTTGCGAGCGTCAGTGGTAGCCCTGGAGCGACTGACAGTGCCGTGCCACAGCCTATCAGCACCAGTGACGCAAACTGGGCCAACCACAAGCTCTCTGTGTTCCGAAAGAGGCCGCTCAGGAATGGCGGGGGGCCGAGGAAGAAAAAACCAACGGCGAGCATCAACAAGCCCATCAAAATGACCTGCTTAGAGCCGAAATTCCGACTGAGCCACGCATACACAAGGCCGCCCAGAAAATAGACAAATGCGCTCAGAGCGAACCCCAGGCCAACAGCCACGTGCTCTGCGCCCAAAACCTTGTGCAGATGTGTGCCCAAATACGGGTCAATGAACCCAAACGAAGACATCGCAAAGGTGGTTACGGCGAGGCAGATCATGCAAGTGGGTGTCAAAACGTCCTTGTATCGTGCAATACTAGATCCTGAAGCGGATCGCGTCCTTGCCGCAGCGTAGATGCCTTCCGGGAGTGAGTATTCGATGAAGACAAAAGGGACGATGATCACGACCACAATCTGCGCTACACCTGACACCAGGAATGGCATTTCGTATCCCTGGGTCTCATAGAGGTAGCTTCCAAGCGGTGGTGAATTGACGAAGGCTGCTGCGACAATGAACTCCTGGATCGCTAGAACCTGTCCGACATGGGAAGAAAACTCTTCCGATATCATGGAGAATGAGCCCACCACTGAAGCAAAATACGATGTAGTCAGCACTCGATTTCTTTTTTTGGAATCAACGCTGGTTTCCTCACCCGCAGCGCCTGAGCCGAGCCCTTGCAAGATCCGCAGCAGAAACGCCGAAGGCGTCCCGGTGGCGTATCCGATGGCGATGGTGCTGCAACCGCTGAGCATGAGCCCAAGACAGATGAGCGTCTGTCGTCCTACTGTGCGGCTTACCGACGCTGCGAGTGGGCTACTGAGCATAACGCAGAGTGGGTACACGGAGAAGAAGATGCAGAGCTCAGCAGGTGTCATGATGCCGCTCTTGGTGGCATAGGACGGGTAGAAGCCCACGGAAAGCGTCGTGAGCTGGTTGGCAAGGAAGAGAATGCAGGAGGTGACTAGCCAGATAGCGAGCGAGCGAATCTTGGCGTTATGCAGCGGAGTGAGCGGCTGTGATAGCTGCATGATGGCGTAGACTAGCGCCACTCTTGTCGATATCGTGCGAGTCCTCATGGAGCTGGCCGTAGATCTGCGTGCTGTGTGCCACTGCGCCAGGGGATGGGAGTAGAGGACGCCTCTCATCCATTGAGCGAAACTGTTGCTTATTAAGGCCACCAACGTTTGTGGCCGATACCAGAAGCCTCGGGGCTCGATTTCAGCTTACCGCAAACATGCACTGAGACAAGTTATACCGCTATTTCAGCTTTGAGGCACCGCAAACATGCACTGAGACAAGTTATACCGCTATTTAAGTAGCCTTCAATTTGAAATTTTTACGCAGTCGATTTCAATGTCGGCGATTCGCTGCCTTCGTCGGCAAGGATAAACTGGAACACCTCGTCCACGATCTCTTGGAACTATTCACCAGCAAAAAGGCGGCAACACTCAGGGCCGTAGAACTCATGACGAGCAAGAGCAAGCTCCGTTTAAACTGCGAAATCTGCCCGGCTCGCTGCACAACAGCCTCCCACGCGATTTTAATCCATGCGATCATTCTTTCGCGCGTTGGAGGCTTAGCGTTGGCGCCCGACGCGAAATTACGCGGTCTCTTTTCCTTCCATTCGTCAGCAATTTCTGCCAGTGCGCATTTGAACGGCCTGAACATGCCGTAGTCACATGGGGTGTGAGCCTAGGCCTCACATAGCCTAATTAAAAAGTACATGAGCTCTTAAAGAAGGTGGAAATACAAGGGGGGTTATAAAACAGAGGGGCTTGTAATACCACTTTTACAGTGCATTTACAGAATAAGTATTATAAAAAGTTTTAATAATGTTATTATAATATTCTTCAGAAGTCCTGACACCAATCTTAATCAAGGAAAGCCTGCTTAAAAAATGATGGTGAGAAAATGTAATTCTCGCGACCAAGATAAAAATCGAGATGTATTGAGCTTTGCAAAGCTTTTGTCTTTTATCACTAGGGTGCCATCTGTATCCCACACGACGAGATGTGGCATTGAACTGACCCTTTCCCTTGAAAACTGTTGGATTTCAGCGTGCACAAGCCGAACAAGCATCTCGAGATGGTGACTGTAGCGTCGTAGTTTAGGAGGCTTTTAGTCCAGTCATGGTTTTCCCTCACCACAGAGTGCTTTCTAACGCTAGCACTATTCAATCTACCTTGAAAAGAACAATAGGTTATCTGCCCAAGCTTTCTCTGTGCTCAACGTGCTACCGTTGAGGTGTCGCGGTCATGGTGAAATGATACTCCGAGAAAAACTTCGACGGGACCAACTACACGGCATGGAAGACGCGTGTACGAGCCGTATTGGAGGCGAACGATCTCTGGGACATCGCAACGCTACGTGAACGTCCGCCACGCAGTGGCTCAAGGCATGACGAAGACAGGTTTTGGCACCGAGAACGTAAAGCAAAAGCTTTCTTGCTGGAAACGCTGTCCGACGATCTTGTGGTAAGTGTTGGTGCAAAGCGGTACGCCTACCAAGTGCTAGAGTACTTAGAGCAAACGTATGAGGCCAAAAACTGGGGGAACCTAGTGGCAATGCGTGAGAACTTCATATCGCTGAAGTACGAAGACGGACAAGAAATGACTACGCACCTCAACAATCTAAAGACTCTAGCCGACAAACTAGCCCGCATAGGAAAACCCGTTGATGACCAAGAACGAGTGTGCCAACTCTTGACAAGTCTACCCGAGTCCTGGTCCCACTTCAAAAGTGTATACTTTACACAAGACCGCCCACTGCCATGGGCAACAATGGAAGGCAACGTTATGGCCGAATTCTCGAGACGCCAAGCCCAAACGGCTCCAGTAGTTGTTCAAGAAACGGCCGTCCCCGCTGTCTTGAAAAACGAGGTCTACATGATGGCGGAGGCCTTACTTGCAGCACGCCAGAGTCACCTCAATTCGAGACGCACGCAATCCCATCGATCGACGCCATACCCACCGCGGTCGAGTAACGGGCAAACATGCTTCTATTGTGGCAAAGGGGGGCACCAAAAACAAGTCTGTCGGCTCCGCCTTCGTCACCTCCAAGAACGTGGTGTTCCGGAGGAGCAACAAGGTTCTACCGGACACGCAGCGGTAACTGTGGCGCCTGCAAGCCCCGCCGCCAATGCCGCCGAGCGGACAGAGCAACTATCTCCGGCACTCGAAGGAGAGGTATGGGGTCTGGCGGCAGTCGCAGGATATGCAGCGAAAACAAGCGCGGACAGTGTGTTTATTCCTTGGGTGATCGACTCGGGATGTACTTAACACATGACGTCCGACCGGTCTCTCGCTGAGAAGTTTGAAGCGGCCTCTAAACGAAACGTTCGCGTGGCAACGGCTACAATGACTCCTGTAGAAGGGGTTGGTACAGTGCTGCTCACGGTGCAAATGAACGACGGCCATAACGAACGAGTCAGGCTCCACAAAGTCCTCTACGTGCCGGCGCTTGAAATGAACTTACTCTCTGTGTAACAAGCGGCGCAAGGAGGGGCGAAATTTGACTTTCATACGCGACCGGGTTCCGTGACAATGTCACTTGATCACCGCCAAGTTACATGTCGCGCTACTAATAAGCTGTACGTCCTGCATTCGGCCCGCCCAGCAGCAGCAGCTCTCGCCGTAAGACCGGACCTGACGCTGGATCTCCTGCATCAACGGTTCGGGCATACCAGCAAGCAGATTCTTCGCAAGATGGCGTCTTCTAAAATGGCCAGTGGCATGGAGTTCAAACCGGAGCAGGATAATTCACCATGTGATGCCTGCGAGTTGGGTACGAAGCGCCGCGCGACGTTCAAAATAAAGCCGCGAGTTGACCTCGATGGCTGCAATAATGTTGTTCACAGCGACATCGCTGGACCTGTCGAATTGCCATCAATCAAGCTCGAGCGATATGTGTTACTCTTTGTCGATGGTTATTCGCGATACTGCACTGTGCGGCTGCTGCGAAAACGATCGGAGATGTTCCAATGCTTCTTGGTATACAAGGCGGCAGTAGAGACGAAGCACAATCGATCACTTCGACGCTTTGTCAGCGACAACGGTGGCGAGTATCTAGATGGTGCATTCGTCAAGTACTGTCGTGACCATGGGATTCAACGCGAAACCACAATCGCGTACACACCGGAGCAAAACGGGATGGCTGAAGTTTGCTTCCGTATTCTGTTCAACAAAGTTCGGACGATCCTAATCTCCAGTGGATCACCGAAGCAGCTTTGGGGAGAAGCAGTTCTGGCGATGGTCTACACATACAATCGGACTCTCGCCTCTGGTATTGGTGTGACTCCATACGAACGATGGCACGGCCATCCTCCTGATGTCAGCAACCTTCGGACTTTCGGCTTTCTCGCATACGTTTACGTGGCGTCCAAGACAAATTCGCAGGGACGTGCCGGTGCCAAGAGGCAAAAGCTTGACGCAAAAGCTGTTCGAGGCGTATTTGTAGGCTACGCCGCCAACCAAAAGGGCTGGAAGATTCTCGACTGCAACCAAGGTGCCATCATATCGTCCATTCATGTAACCTTTGACGAAAGCTGCTCTGCTGCAGCTCGCGATCTCAAGCGTCAGGAGTTCCGCAAGTTGGCTTCACACCACTCCATCGATTTTGAGTATTACTCTCGGACCGCGACATCTGAGGTTGACTTGCTCTTCTACAGCCAACGCCCCACCGAAGAGAAGCCTTCCGCCAATGACATAGTACTACTCGAAGACTTCGTTGCTGGCTTTGACATGGACTCGGTCAATACTTCGACGACATGGCCGCAACTCCGCGCATATGCATCGTCATCCGCTTCATGGCTTCAAACGTTGGTCGGACCACAAGCGCTTACCAGTGAATCGGTCCATCCAATCATCCGAGCCGTCCGTAAGCAGAAACAGGCTGAGCTCCTTGTGGCACTCGAAAATCTGAAGTACAAGGAGTCGCTTTGTGCTGCGGTTGCTCACGGTATGGGCCTTGACCCTGCAACTTACCGTGAAGCAATGGCACGTCCTGATGCGTCAAGATGGAGAGAAGCCACTGATGCAGAAATAGCGTCGCTCCTAAGGACGTGGACACTAGTTAAACTTCCAGCAGGCAAGCGAGCTCTAGCTTGTAAGTGGGTGTTTAAACGAAAGTTTAACAGTGCCGGGACCCTCGAGCGATACAAAGCTCGCTTAGTTGTCATCGGGTGCCAGCAGATTAAGTTTATCGACTTTGACGACGTCTTCGCGCCTGTGGTGCGTTTGGAATCACTCAGAGTGCTGCTTGCAATTGTGTGCATTGAAGACTTGGAATGTGATCAAATGGACATCGAGACCGCTTTCCTGAACGGTGTGCTAGAAGAAGAAGTGTACATGCAATTCCCACAAGGGCTAAAAGCTGCCGGTCAAGAAGGTCTGGTGTGCCGCCTACTCAAAAGCCTATATGGCCTCAAGCAGGCACCCCGAGCGTGGCACAAGGCGTTAGTGCAGTACCTCACCACTGCTGGATTTGAAGCTCTGCAGTGTGAAGCCTGCATTTTTGTTCGGAGCACAGGCATCAAGACGCAAATTGTAGCCATTTACGTGGATGACTTGGTGCTGATTGCTAAGACTCGGGGTGAAGTTGCTGAAATGAAGGCCGGCATCCAAAAAGCATTTCGTGCAAAAGACATGGGCCCCGTCAGCTACATTGTGGGGATTAAAGTAGTCCGTGACAGGAGACAACGAAAGCTCTGGATCAATCAGCAGTTAAGCGCAGACAGCATCGTAAATCGGTTCAACATGCAGCACGCGTTCGCTACTAAAGTTCCATCGATACCAGGGAAGAAGCTGCGAAAGCTTAACGGCGCTGATGCAACCGGTGATGTCATGAGTGAGATGGCAACGAAACCCTTTCGACAAGC